TAGACTATTATTTATTTATTTATTTATTTATTTATTTATTTATTTATTTATTTTGCCTGCATGTAAGCGCACCCATGTCATGCAATGCCCATGGAGGCCAGAAGAGGGCATCAGATCCCCCGGAACTAGAGTTACAGACAGTTTCTAGCTGCCATGTGGGAGCTGGGAACTGAACCCAGGTCTTCTGCAAGAGCAGCCAGTGCTCTTTGCTGCGCAGCCATCTCTCCAGCTCCAGCTTTGTAACTTATTAGTCAAATATTCAGGGTTTGCCTGCGCCCCTACAACAGGCCCGAACAGACCAGACCAGATCAAAATGGTGTCAGTGATGTTCAATACAAATAATCAAGCTGAAATCTAAGGAAAGAGGTAGACCCAGAGCCCACAAGTTTCTCCAAAAACCAGGAAATTCCAGTCCAGTAAGGACTTTATCTAACTCTGACCTCCGAAGTGTCTCTCAGTAACCTGTTAACTGGGCCATTTTCCTATGGATCTGTTCGCTTGTGCCCATCCTATAAACCCCCTGCTCTGCTACCGCCCAGTACTGGTTTCTGTCTTGTAGAGTAGAAGCCACTCTACATGAATGATTCAAAATGATTCATGAATGATGTCAAAATCAATTCAGATCTACAATTAAATTGCTGAGATTATGTCCACAGGGTCAAGTGTGTTTCTGGGAGAGGACTAGTGCGTCATCTCTAGCTCCCATTTCTGACTCAGTTTCCATGTGGGAGCCCAGAAGCACATGCCTGTGTCCTTACTTCACAGTGGGTACCCCAACTTTGGCAAACTTCCATTGCTCAGACTTACCTCTGAACCTGTACTGCTTCTCCTGCTCTGGGGTAGGGTGTGTGCTGTGGGGTCGTCATTGCACTGCCCCACACTGAGCCAAAATCTTGCTTTTATGCTGTCTTCTCACCTGCCCCAGAGTAAGGGGTACCTGCCTGCACTCAGTACCCCAGCAACTCTGCTGGTAGCTTGTGTCAGGGCAGGGAAGTTGAAGTAGTTGCCCCAGGTTTGCACTTAGCAATTCTGAATCTGTGTGGATGAGGAGTGTCGGCAGCAGGCAGCCGGGCCTGGGACCAGAACACCTGCCTTCTGGGCCTGCACAGGGCAGCTCAGTTACCATGGTACATTGCTGTTGCAAAACACCTGACAGAGCAGTGTACAAGGAGGAGGGGGCAGTGGGGTGGTCCTGGCATCAGCCATCCCCACGATGTGGAATCAGTTCTATGTGAAGCCAGCAGTGGAATGATGGGGCGAGGTTTTAAAGGAATCAGTAGAGTCCAGGAGGCTGGTAAGAGTGACCTCAGTTCTCTCATCTGCAAACTGGGTTACTGAAAGCACAGCTGATCCATTCCCTAGCATCATGGTGTGGCCATGAGAACGCCATGAAAAATAACTGGGGTGCCAGCCATGTCTGGTTGGCAGGGGCTTGGAAAGGCAACCAAAAGAGCCTGTGATGCCCCAGCCTGCCCTTGTGGTTTTGGGAAAGCAGTGTCTGTTCCTGATCAAAATCTCTTGCCAATTCACGTTCAGGCTGTGAGGAGCAGGGCTCAGACCAGTTTGTCAACTTCACAGGTTACTCCTGGTGACAGATGACATTTGTGTTATCAGAAGCAATCTAGATTAGAGACCCGGGTGTGAGTAACCTCCAGAGACTATGAACAGATGAGATCCCACAACAGACTAAACCATGTGAAACTGCACAGGTATGACCTTTTACACTTAAAAGACAGAAGCACCATGTGACTCACCATATGACCTGTGCTTTCCATCCTGAGTGGATGGCAGGACCCCTAGATCAGCTAGAGTGGGCAGGCACCCACAGTACAAGAGCATCCTAGGGGAGTCAGGTAGCAGGGGCCTTCTGCTAAGTCTTCTGGGCTTCCAATTTCTACAGCCTTTGTGACTCCCAGGACGCCCTCCTGCCTTAGCTCTCTTGAAGACTGTGGAGAGGACACTGAGGGGAAGAGCTGGGGTTGTGGCACCAGTGAGAGATCAGGCAGAAGGGGTCATGGAGGAACCTTGGGGTCTGTAGGAGGTGGCCTTCCCTCCCACAGCCCAGGAACCCCTGTGATGACCATCCACACCATCCACATACCATGAGCCTAGAACTAGGGCTAGAGACAGGGACATGGAATAAGTGGACTTGGGCCTGGTGGGCCTATGAACTTGAGAAAGGAAACCGAGATGCAGAGATCCTCTTGTGCACTGGGGTGTGGACTTGCTTCTAAGGAGATGTGTGAATCCCTGCCAGGGAGGACAGAAATGCCATGAACAAGGTTGGGATCCTGTTCTGACTCCATGGACCAAGGGCTCTGAGGTACAGCTACTTGATTCTAATTAGAACATTTTCTTGTGGAGGGAGGTGGAAGGTTCATTCATAAGACTCAAGAAGTAGAAAAATTTACAAGATTCAGGAAGCCTACAAAAGTTACAAGATTTGGTTTAGAATCAAGATGGTGAAATGAGGTGTGCCCCAGGCAGCTGGCCTTGGTGCCCAGGGTACATGCATCAACTCCTGAGACGCTCATTGTGTGTGCTGGACCATGTGAGGAACCTTATCAAACAGAATGAATATTTTCTTGGCCTTAAGTGCTTCTATATTGAACTCAAAATAATTATTCTGAACTCTGGACTTGGCAAGTAAGAAAGAAAATAATTGGGAAGCCAAGCTGGTGGTGGGGGTGTGGCTGTGGGTGCTGCAGCAGTGGTGGTGGCAGTGGCTCTCGGTGGTTCTTGGTGGCTCTTGGCACAACCACAGAAGAAGATGTGAAAACAGAAGACACCAAAAAAGCCAAACTGATCTGTGACCATGAAAAAGAAAACACTCGATTTATCTGTCTCCCTGAGAAAAAGTGAAAAGTGGCTTTCTCCAATGCTGATGTCTTCCTAGAGAGAAATGCAAGACAGCAAGGAAGTATTGCCTCTGTTTGCTGTACAGAAACCAAAATGGTCTTTCTTAAACACAAGTATAATCATGTGGACAGAGCAATGGAGACAGGAAAATAGTAGGAATTGGCATAATTGAAATTATGATCCCTCCTATGAGCTTATGGCTACCTCCCATGAGTCTGGAGCTGTAGTCCCCTCCCATGAGCCTGGAGCTGTGGTCCCCACCCATGAGCCACGGATCCACATTTGTCTGGTGATAGGCTGATATAGTGGAGGAGATTGGAGGATGAAGGGCTTCCTGATGTTGGGTAGCCGGTTCAGTCTTCTCTGAATGGTTCACTTCGCATAAGCCCCTTCTTTGAGGTCCCAGGTTGTACATGGCCAGTGGCTTTGCCCAACCTAGGACTTCTGCTGGGGACAGAGGAGGTTTCTGTCATTTATAGATTCTAGTCTTTGGAAAATTGATTCTCAAGAATGGACCTCCTGCCTCTCTTGGTGGCCAGCTATGGTATTGACTCCACACATGGTCCTGGGCACCCAGGCCTTGATGCTGGACCTTCCCCTTCCCAGGCACCAAGAAATTGTCTGTCATTTTTCCATTATTCTTCTACAGCCTCAGTATACCGTCACCTGAGCCCTACAGAACACCTAACAGAACTTCTAGAGATAAAAACCAGAGTCTGGGAAGTTAAAAACAAACAAACAAACAAAAACAATTGACTAGGCACAACATTTGTTAAGCTCAAGGCCCAGGATTCAATCACCAGTGGGGTGTAGGGATAGGGCGAGAGAAAAAATAAAACTATTTTGGGGACTGGAGAGATGGCTCAGAGGTTAAGAGCACTGACTGACTGCTCCTGCAGAGGACCCAGGTTTGATTCTCAGCACCCACATGGCGGCTAACAACTGTCCATAATTCCAGTTCCAGGGGACTCTGAAGCCCTCTTCTGACCATCCCCAGGTATTGCACAACATAGGTGCACTTACATACATGCAGGCAATACACTCATACACATAAAACAAAAATAATAAAATATTAAGAAAAAAACTATTTCAAGGGCTGGGGGTTGGGGCTCAGCATGTGCAAAGCTCTGAGTTCCACCACGAAAAAGAAATAATCTAACTTTGCAAAATGTTATCATTAGGAGATCACTGGCTAAAATGTACAGAGGAGAACTGTAATTTTTTTCCTTTATATTACCTCAAAATGTTTCAATAAACAAAACAAAACTAAACAAAAAACTTGGAGGAGGGCGGAATATGGTCAACACACACTATATGAAACGCTCAAGAAGCGATAAAATTTTTTATGTTGAAAGATTTGTACATACCCCTTCTTTAAATAAGCAGTAAGCAATTTTGGGGGAAAGGGGACTCTGTTCTCTGGAGTTGCCTGCAGGTTGTACAGGGGACTCCAGTGATATAGTTTTTGTGAGTTGCCATCCATGCTGGAGTGGGCTTTTCAGTGATGCAGCTGCCCTTGAGTCAGCCGCCCTCCCATAAGTAATCTCACCCACACACCTGCACAGAACCTCACTAAACTCCTTGATTCACCAAGCTAGACGTGGCTGAGACCATTGTCTTCTGTTGTTGGTGGGAGGGGGGTAGATGTCTGTTCACCTCTTCCCAAGGAAAAAAAATCACACAACAGCCTCCACCTATGATCTCCTCCAGCTGTTCTGGGGAAATGCCCAGTGAGATGGTGGGGTAACATAGTGGGAGAAGGGAATAGGATCCTGTGCCCTGGAATCTGAGACACAGACGGTGACAGCCATGTCTAGAGCTGACAGGTAGAAACAAGAGGGACAGCATCAGGGCGGCCCAGTTAGTGGAGAGAGACTCCAGCCTGAGGCAGAGGGGAAGGAGTCCCAAGAGGCCATGGGCACTCAGTGGACTCTGGGTCCTCAGGCATGAGCCACATGGTCCCCTCTAGGTTTCCAAATGTGATAGAATCTTGGGGAAGCAGATAGTTCCAGGACTATGGGATCTGATCTTAGCCACGGAACTCTGCTCAGAACCCACCTGGGTGGATGGAGAGGACACGGAGACCTACTGTGACTGCAAGTCCATGACAAACTCAGCATAGAGAAGACACAGAAACAACATGGAAGAAGATTTGCAGCTGTGCTCGGGCACTGGCCAGGCAGCTTGTGTTTAATGTCATCAGGGAGGGGATCCAATCTGGAGAGGCCGGTAACTTCAGTGGGTAGCTTTTATTGTGTGGGGTTCACCACTCTCCCCACGAAGAGTGGGCTCTGAGTGTGTCGATCATAGATTATAATAGTGAAGGGCCTGTTAAAAGTCACCTCAGGGGGCACAGACATGGGGATGGCTTCCAGAAAAGTAGCCCCTGCGGCCTCTGTCCCTCTCTCATCCAGGGTCAACACAGCCTTATGTACAGCCTGTAGGGAAAGAAACAGAGGCTGCTTAGAGGAAATGTGGCTTCCACCCCAACCTGGATTAAGATTCCCACAGGAATCATCCAGGGTGGACCTCACTAGAGACTGTGTCCCCACTCCATGAGGGAAGCCTCGTTCCTCTCCTGCCTTGGCTGACTTTCTTCCACACTTGCTTCCTGACTTCATCTCTCGTGGCCTTGGATGCAGTCCATAGCTTCACATGGGAAGGACTCTCTGAACCCCATGTCCTCTGCATATATGCCCCCTTCCCAGTGTGTAGCTGTGAGTTCTGTGAGGCAAAGGCCTTGAAGATGACCTTCACTGTTCAGACTCCAAATATGTTCAGCCCATGCTGAACTGCCTCTAATTTCCCTGAACTAGTGACCTCTTTGGTTGAACTCAAATCAAAACTGATGGTTCACCTGTAGCTCTTAATATTACAGATGGAAGATTCCAGAACATTCTCTGAGGTTACCAGGCCTAAATCTCTATGAATATGAGTAGACTGAGTCCAGGGATTCAAAGACCCTGAGCAACCATAAAACCAGGGGTCAAGGCTGTACTTCAGGGAAGGTCCCATGGTGCGACCTTCTAGCTCTGATACCCACCATGTCCAGGTAAACCCTGGGAGTCCACAGGAGCAGCTCAGCCTAGGTAGACCTTGCCTGTGTCCCTTTCTCCCTCCTCAGCCTGGTGCCTGTGCTGCCCCCCTACATCCTATTTGTCCTAAGACACCTAGGACATGGCCGTCACCAGATGAGCTCACCTTGTTGAGCTTCAGGGGAGCATCCTCTGTGACCCCTGTGAGGTCGGCCTCGTTGCTGAAGACCTGTGTGATGCCCAGTCGGCTCAGAACCGCCTTCAGATCATAGGTTCCAGAGATGGACAGCTTGGGGAAGTGTAAATTGGCTGACCTGGTGGGTGAGAAAGAGTTCAAGGGGTTTCATGGCATTTCTGGGCTCTGCTGGGATCTGCCCTGTTGTGCAAGTATTGGTTGGTTCTCCCACTGAACACCCTGTCTCCATCCTCAGCAGGATGTGAAAAGCCTCTCTGTGCTTCCTGTTGCTTGTCCCCGTCTAGCTCAGAGAACTTGAAATCAGTGGAATCAGTTCCTGGCAACCAGGTCAGGGTGCCCGCATGGACCACATCTCTCTGTGCCTGACTGTTTGGTTACCTCCTCCTCTCTAGTCAAGGATACCCCTTGGGCCTGGTTCTCTGGAGAGCTGAGGTCGGTGCAGCAGGATGCCATCTGCTCAGAGAAGGAAAGCAGAGTAACCCCTTCCCCCAGGCTAACGGCTCAGCTCTTGGTTTCCATAGGGAAAGGATAGGTCCAGTAGGGCCCGCACTGAGGATGCTTACTAGTCCTCTAGGATCTGCCACCCATTTTAGTCTCATTTCCTCCTGATTCTCTGTGCTTCGCTAGGTGCTGGGCCTAAGCAGAGTCCAGGCTGGGCAGCAGGGCAGCACCTCTGTCCACAGTTCACCCCAGACCTCCCTGAATTTTTGTGTGTTTCACGACATTCCTCACTCAACAGACAGCGGGGCCTGGACTCCTAGTCCATAGGTACTCTGACACGTGGGGCACACTCAGGGACTGTTGAACCCAGGTTGTGATAAACTCCACTGAAGAGTGACAGTGGAGTCACTCTGGCAGACATGCCTCTCTGTTGCTGACCCTTTCCTGTTCAGGGCTTTCCATGTAGGCTCCTCTCCTGTTCCCCCCAAGGACTGTCCACCCTGACCCTCCCCCCACAGCTGTGGCCAGAACTTAAGACTAATTTTGGTCCTTGGTTTGAACATAGCATGTATAGTATTGTTGATGTCCATTCTGGGCTCTGGATTAAAGTATATTATGTCCCCTGAGGAAAGAGATCTACCCAAAGCAAGGTTGGGGCTTTCTTACTAGCAACTCTGTCCCTTTCTCCAGACCCTGCCTGGCAGTAACTACACTGCTGAGCCAAAGGTTGGCCTGTTTCTTTTAGCCCAAAGTTATGCACTTAGCTGTGGCCCTGGGATGGTGTCCACCCTCCATAGCCACTCCGTGTTGGGACGGGGTTGTGGGGAGTCACCTCGTGTGCCTGTTGCTCAGGAACTTGCTAATGAGTTCCTTGGTGAGTGTTTGCTCCATGTGCTGCATCTGACCATCGTCGGGCAGGATGAAGATGGCGGTGGCATTGCCCTGGTAGTCCATCAGCAGCACCCAGCTGGCCAGCGTGCTGCAGTGGTGCACATCAAACATGCCCAGGCGGTTCATCATGGGCACCTTCACTGTGGTTGACTTGTCCACGTGGAAGTCGGCCTCCTTTGTCTCCTCTGCATCAAATGGCTTCTCCCACTTGCCTGCAGAGGGGATGAGGTAGTCAGCAGCCAGGGTAGGAGGAGGACTTGGCCAGCGAGCCTCCCCAAGCCACCCTCAGAGCCTTGGCTTTTCGTGTGCACAGGGGCTACTGTCAGCCTTCTGGACTGTCAAAGGAACTTTGCCGAGAATAACTCAGGACTAGAGGAAGATTCAGAACTTCCACATTACAGAAACTGATAGCTGTCATCCTCACCTTGCCTAGAAGAGTTTTATTTGGATTACATGCTTATTGAAAGCATGGGCTTGGTTTCGGGTTATAAATGACAATTTTGACAGCAGTCTTACTTTATTAGCTTATTATCTGGGGCTTCATGCTCCTTGGTAAGTGGGAATTCTGTTGCCACTCAGGACAAACTTCTGGGTGCCCCCAAGTCCTTGTTTTACACCCGTGAGTGCAGTGCAGATGCCCAGGCTGCTATCCCTCTGTTGTGTGAGTGCCACTGTCAAGGCCTCCCAAGTGGGCAGGGTCCTCAGGGACCCATCATCAAGGCTGTCATGGTGGGCAGGGTCCTCAGGGACCCATCATCAAGGTCATCAGGGTGGGCAGGGGTCTCAGGGACCCATCATCAAGGCTGTCATGGTGGGCAGGGTCCTCAGGGACCCATCATCAAGG